ATGTAAGTCCAAGGAGAGGCACAGGTCCTTAACCAGTTAAACAGAGCAGCTGTTGTTAACCTTGGCTACCTCCACACTGGAGTCAGCCAGAGAGCTTTTCAAAGTAGTAATACCTGAGTCTCACTCCCAATTCCTACCCTTGGGGATGGACTCTTAACACAAAAGGTCCGGGGTAATTCTAATGTAAAGAACAAAAAAACATTTTTCCTCGTAAAGCAGAAAGTAGAGAAAGCTATTCTTTACAGAACATTGCCAACTAATAAATGTAAAAGACGACAGACATAAAAATAGTAATATAAGATTAGGCAAATGTCAGCAATGGATATTAAACCCACTGGGGGAAAGAATGTTGGGGAGCAAGACACATATTCTCAAAGTACTACTGATTACATCTTAATCATAGATAGGAAAGATAACCTTTACAGTGCAGAAATCAGACAGACACTACCTTAATTTTATGATCAAACAACATGGCCAACAATGAAACACATGACATCATCTGCTTCCCCTGGGACACAGAGAAGGTATTCCTGTCTCCTCAAAAAGGTAAAACCCTGAGCCTAATCATGTACAAGAAGTTACTCAAACCCAAATTAGGCGGCATTCTAACCACTAGCCTGGATTTTTCAACGCCCTAAATAAAAAAACAAGTGGGGGGGGATAGGCAGTAGGTGACACCACATAGGATGGACTCCTGCTAAAAAAAAAGGGGACTAGAGAGACATGACAACTGCAATGTATAATCCCTAATTGGATTCTTTACTAAAAACACAGCTATGTAATAGAACATTACTGGGGTAACTATGAAATTTAAGTACAGACTGCATATCAAATAATAGTACTGTGCCAAGTTTCTTTTTTTTGGATTTTATTTATTTGACAGAGAGAGCGTGCGAGGAAGCACGCACACAAGCAGGGGGAGTGGCAGGCAGAGGGAGAGGGAGAAGCAGGCTCCCCGCTGAGCAGGGAGCCCTATGCAGGACTCCACCCCAGGACCCCAGGATCATGACCTGAGCTGAAAGCAGACACTTAACTGACTGAGCCACCCAGGCGCTCTTGTGCCAAGTTTCTTAAGAGTGATGATGATATTGTGGTTAACATCAAGGTGAATTCCTTGAGGAGACTAAGTTAAAAATAGTACAAAGCTCCCATTAATAATTACCTTTAATTACAACGTTTGTAAAAATATATGCCAAATTTCTAAGACAGGATTATATACCTATGTATTTCTAAGAGGAAAGGCAATTGCGAGCACATATTTTTGAAATCCACAAAAACAAAGATTTATTCCATTCTGGAGAAAAGGGTAGATTACAGGAGTAGTTCTCCGGATAATTCCTGACACATTCTTTGAGGTCTAAGACTAATATGCAGAGATAAAGTTAGCAGGTTTAAATCTACAGAAAAATGACAAGAACACACTCATCTACAGCAAACACATGCAATATACCCATAATTTATCAACCATTCCACCTAGATAGATGATAGATTTGTCTTCTTTCTTAGCACTGTTTTGAGTGCTACCTCCTACACCAATTTAGAGAAATGTCCATGTGTGAAGGTGGGGAGTCTATTATATCACTGCCTACGTATATGTAGAATAAAATGCCCACCCGAATTCTGCAAAGAACTTGGATTGTTAAGATTGTCCACATTTTATCCGTTTAGGAAGAGACTTTCCTTTCCTTCCCCTGAAACCACCAGCCCTCAGGGGTTCTGAGCTCCTTCCCCTTGCAGTGTTTCTGCCGTTACTACCGGCAGCTTCTCCATCTTCTGATCTCATTGGCTGCTTCTACACCTAGATTTAGTACTAAAGTCTCAAAAAAGCAAAGACCACCTATTCCAGTGGGATCTTCCTTACATTTACTTTTGATTCGCTTTTATTAAAGATCACTGACCCTCTTACCCCATTCTTAAAATGAAACAAAATCTCTACTTGCTTCACTCACTCAGATATTTAAAATCATAAAAAATCCTTTGGAAATAATGTTTTTAACATACTCTCCCTTCTCTTAAAAGAATCCTAATTTTTCTTAGAACACAAGAACCCATTACACAGAACTGTATCACTAAATTACAAAACTGAATAAATCTAGATAATATTCCTCTTATTTATGTATCTTAAAAATAGCTACCTAACAATTCACTTTAGGAATTTCTGCACTGAAGCAGCCACATAAGTGTAAAGGACAGAATGTTCTGTAATGCTACCAGTTGTAATGTGAGAAGCTTTACTGATCATATGTAACCAGTAGAGAGAAAAGAATTTAAATGACACTTCAATTTACAAATTGGGAAAGTGAGGGACAGACAAAGGGGCGTGTCCAAAGAGAAAGCTAGTTTAGGGCAGCTAGCAGAGATGTTTACATAAGAACTTCTTCAGCACAGAGTTACTTTAAATAATCAGCTCCTTGTCACTTTTAATCAGTGCTGTTTTACACAGAAGTGTCAGGGATACATGTGCCCTAAACTCAGTAATAGGACAAATGCATCTATTTATAATAAAGAAAAGAGCAGCCATAATTAGATGTTAAGTCCATATTCTCTCAAATTCCTGTTTTAGGCTTACTATTACCCTCCTCTTAAACTCTTTATATTATTGAATTATGTAAAAACTAGAAATGCCTGACTCGAGAGAAGAGTCCTTAGAGATAATTCATCTATTTTAGTTTCTTCAATGCGCAGGTGAGAAAACAAACGCAGAGGGAAAAGGAGAGTGACCTATGACAATATAAAGCACAGGCAGAGCTGGGCTGGTCTCTCATGGTTCGTCTCCCCCTCCGATTTCCCCCCTTCATTTTTCCCTTCCTTCTCCTAATGTCCTCCACGAGGAAAGGACTTTTAAAAGGCTTCCTTCAAAAAAATAAAAAATTAAAAAATAAAAGGCTTCCTTCATCTTTAACTTCACTTGGAAGTTAACTGCTTTGAAAGGTCAATAAAGGGGCACCTGGGTGGCTCAGTCGGTGAAGTGTCTGCCTTTGGCCCAGGTCCTGATCTCAGGGTCCTGGAATCAAGCCCCGTGTTGGGCTCTCACCCCAGGGATCCTTACCCCAGCCCCTTTCAGCATCAAGGTACACACAAGTCAGATACTTCACAGCACCTTTAGCTGTGTTGGAAAGCTTCAGATAATGCATGATGTATCTATTCACACTGATGCGGAGTTGAAATTTTGATGCCTATCCATAGTTTAATGGGCTTTGTTATATGGATTCTGGGACCAAACATGTTCGGAGTGGCAGGTGAGTTGCAGGGGAAGATGCAAATGTTGCTGATCATGAAGGCAGAAACACTGCAAGAGGCCAAAAGTGAAGAACATCTAACACAGTCTGGTGGTTAAGGACAGGCCAAGGAAATTCTCCTTCATAAAGGGATAAAATATGAACAATCTTAGCAATATGTGTTCTCTATACAATTCCAGAAGCATTTTACTCTACACATAGTCTAGGAAGTGTTATAACGGAATGCCCAACGAACTCCAGCTGGACATTTTCCTAAATTGGTATAGGAGGCACTACTCAAAGCACCTAGTATAGAAGAGTCAAACAGGAAGGGAGAGAAGTAAAAACAAATCCATGACGGAAGATCCTAGAATGTTGCTAAATTTATTTCACATGACTGTCTACCTCCAATTATCATTGACTATGCAAGAGAATTGTGAACTACTTTCCCAAAAAATTACTATGTAAAGTATCTGCTATGCTGCAATTATTTTTATACTATCACTGGTCTCCCATTTTTGAAACCTCAGAGAAAATGCTCTTCTTAAAAAGCAAATATAAAAATAAGGTTTCTTTCTTAACAATCTACCTCTTTACAAACAAATAAAAGCTGTTTAATGGTTGCGCACACACATACGTAATAGACCTGTGAACAAAACTATCTTGAGTTCACTGTTTAAAAAGCACACTCAAGGGACGCCTGGGTAGCTCAACCAGTTAAGCGTCTGCTTTCAGCTCAGGTCATGATCCCAGGGTCCCGGGATCGGCGGAGAGACTGCTTCTCCCTCTCCCTCTGCTGCTCCCCCTGCTTGTGCTCTCTCTCTCTCTGGTAAATAAATAAATAAAATATTTAAAAAATAAATAAAAAGCACATTCAAAATGGAAAACATGTCTTATTAACCTTTAAAAAAATTTATTTATTTGAGAAAAAAAACATGCACTAAGAGAGCATATTGGGGGGCTGGGGAGGCAGGCTACCTGCTGTGCAGGGAGCCCAACACGGGGCTTGATTCCAGGACCCTGAGATCAGGACCTGGGCCAAAGGCAGACGCTTCACCGACTGAGCCACCCAGGCGCCCCTTTATTGACCTTTCAAAGCAGTTAACTTCCAAGTGAAGTTAAAGATGAAGGAAGCCTTTTAAAAGTCCTTTCCTCATGAAGGACATTAGGCCAAGGAAGGGAAAAATGAAGGGGGGGAATCGGAGGGGGAGATGAACCACGAGAGACGATGGACTCTGAGAAACAAACAGAGGGTGTTAGAGGGGAGGGGAGTTGGGGGGTGGGTGAGCCTGGTGATGGGTATTAAGGAGGGCACATACTGCGTGGAGCACTGGGTGTTATATGCAAACAATGAATCGTGGATCACTACATCAAAAAGTATGATGTATTGTATGGTGACTAACATAACTTAATAAAATTAAATTAAAACAAAAAGTCCTTTCCTTCAATTTTTAGAAATAACTTCTCCCCCCACCCCCACCAAGTCTCAAACATTTCTTTTGGTGTTTAAACACCAATGTTGACAACCCTACCACCCCCAAAACTTCAAAAGGTAATTCACATGTCCACTCTACAAAGGGGTAGGAAAAAAGGTTCCACTGACAGGAACTGGAAAGCATGTGCTGGCTCTCAACTGATAGATCATATGGGAACCAGGTTTTACATTAGAATTTGTCCCAATGAGCATTTAATGTCACATGGCTTGAGGGCAACAAAGTCTGACTGTGGCCCTCTGACTGCATTCCACTCAACCACACAGAAAGCCAAGGTACATTATCTTACCTCAAACTGTGGGTAAGGAGGAGTCATAGCTGAAGGGGGCCCTGAGGTGGGAGGTGGCATCCCTGAAGTGGGTGGGAACAGACCCAAGGCATTCAGATTTAATCCAGGAATTAAATGTGCTTGAAGCTGCAATAGTAAAAAGGTCTCTCATTTTACAATTAAAAAATCAAGTGTGAGTATTTATAAGTGACAATATTCAGATTGTGACCTCTTGTCAAGAAAAAAATCATTTTATGACTCAAATTTTAGAACAAAGCAGATGTTCCATGTAATTCTACTTGAGTATCTTTCATATTTCTTGATATTTTAAAATCCATGTGCTCATTTGCCCCCTCCTTAATGCAAAGCTACACTACCTTTCTTAAAGCAGGAAACACACCCTCTTCCTTTAATGATCAGCTCACAGTGCTTAAACAAATATGTACTCTGTATGCTATGGGCACACAGTAAATACAAGCTGAAAAACATGCATTAGATGAAGAAGTAAGCAAACAAGATTTGTGCACTGAAAAGCAAACCAGATATACAGAACAAGCTATTAAGAGATCTTTAGTACTTGGATAAAATTTGGCAGCCATGGGTCTAAAGGCCTAAAACAAAGTCAAGATCTTTGGAAATCAGGTCCCAGCCCATGTAACTATGGCAACTAAACCTATCTTTGGAGTAGATCCAGGAGCCAGAAAGGGGATTTTGTTTTGGTTGAATTTTATAAAGATTCAGGAAGTGAGGTGGAGATGACAGAGTTGAGACGTGAGCATACTTGAGAAGCTCTTTAAAAGGTATATGGAATTGGATTTGCTCTCAAGGGACACTGAAACATCAGATGAGCAGTGATGATGGGAAGGTAGGCCAGGAAGCCAGTCATGTGGGCTAAAACAATCAGCATTCTTCTAGGCTCTTCTCTCAAAAGGTCCTATCATTTCTCTATTTCCCTTCTTTTAGGTGTAGGGCCCCACTGAGGAGTGTGTTTTTCAATCATTTACTTGAAAATTCAAAATGGACTTTTGAAATGTTATATTTTCTGCATCATTCCATCCATTAAGGAATGTCAGCCGTTCACTTCAATTGCCTTCATTGTGCTAGACAAATTGTCATTTTTAATTCTTTTGTCTCCAAGGTTTATGACTGACCAATTAAGTTTTAAATTTGAATTCTTTACAGTTGCTTTTATATGCACGCTACTGTAATCCCAGTCCTAATCATGGAATCAGTATAAGCACAGTAGCCCCATTTTACAGATGAGGAAACCAATGCTTGGGGACCAACCAAGAGAACAGAACTGCAGCTAATAAGTGATTGAGCTGGGATTCAAACTCAGTTCACATACCTACCTCTTAAGCCCACGTTCCTACTATACTAATCTTCTTCAAATTAACATTGTGTGGAAGATAGAAACCTTTTTAGGTAGGTATTAGCCTTATGTAACAGATAAGGAAGCCAAGTCTCAAAGACTAAATAATTTGCTAAAATCACATAGAGCCAAGCCTAATGTCAAAGCCTTCTTCCCAACTATCCCAGGGCACACTCACTACAGTGCTAAAAATCAACTGGAGACTCCATCTAATGCCGGCACCATTAAAGACATCAATATTTATGTAATTGACAACATCTTTTAACTGTTCATCAAAATAAAGGCATGTCCTCCATATTAAAACTAACATTCATAGAAGCAATATCATTTTCATAAGACTCCCTGATTTTCTTCATTATCTCTTCCTCAGCTTTGGCACATGTTTCAACGTTGCCTTTGACTGTAATGGTGCGCTCTGGATTATACAGCGTCAATTCCTGCAATCTGCAGAATGAAAAAGAGGAGAGAGAAAAAGAATGGAAATTACAGGAGGAAGACAGTTAATTACACTTCAGCCACAGATGGCAACTAAAACCCAACTATGGTGGCTGGCGACATGTAAAAATGGGTGGTCAGACATGTGCCCCCCCAAAGACATGAATCCAAGAACGGTAAAGCTGCAGAAGAAAACACTTCCCCCTCCTACCTTCTCAAAAATTACTGGGTGTACATAGTTCAATGAAGTCCATGTTTGAAACACAGTGTACTTCTTGCCCAATTAAGGTGAACCTTTTTCACAATTTAACAGTGAAACAAAGAAAATGATCAGAGGGATGTACAGTTTTAGTGGAAACCAAGAACCAGACATACATAACCTTTAATGAAGATGTTCCTAGTCTGCACGGACCAATTCTAAACTAATTGGCATTCTCATGCAATTGCATCTTCGGGGCCACCACGCAATAAATAAGCATGGAAATATTCCCAAAAAGCAAACCAGAATTCATGTGTCCAAAATTCCTTTTTGCCAATAATTTTAGAGTTTAGATCAAAGTTAAGCTGGAGAAAATAACATAAATCAGTCTGTCTTGACTAAATAAAAAAAATGACCCCTTGATGATCATTAAGACCACTGAAAAGTTAGAAGACGTTAGCAATATTCAGCAACTCCCTGCTTGACCTAGGTCCCGCTGAAGCTTCAAAATCCACTCAGATGACATCTGAGACGCCTGAGCCTGAGCCAGTCAACAGCCTTGAGAGAAGCAATGGGAGACTCTTAGCCATGGAAAATAAGACTAAGTACATAGATTGAAAGGTACATAGATTGGTGTAGCTCTCCTTCATAACCATAGTTAAAATTCTCATTTTCACTACTTAGCAGAATGTCTTAAGCTAAACTTGAGCCAGATGAATGGGTTAGTATTCCTTAACTTTTTCTCTAATTTGCTAAAAAGGTAAACATCTACACAATGAAGACTATTTCGCAGACTAAAAAAGTTTGTTTTTCATCTCTGGTCTCAACTCACCTCTCCCCTAAGCATTTTATATTACAGGGGTTTTTTTTTGTTTGTTTTTATAAATAGCTGCTTTAGAATAGCTTTTAAGATTTTTTTCTCTTAAAACTCTCCCCTTTCTGGATGTAAAATTCAAGACCGGGTAGGATCATTTATTATGTGGGGTTTTTTTCCTTTACAACAAGCAGGACCTTCCGAATTCCTACCTCTCCCTTCTTTGAAAACTTCTTGCTACATGAACATGTTGCCTCTCTCTCTTTACCATTCTTCCTCAGTTTATCAATCTCTTTTCACCTCATCTTTTTTGGGTACTCTGCATAAACTAAGAATAGTTACCCTCAGAGAGACCTTTCCGTATAATTTCAGAGGATTCATGGACCCAAGGTGTGGCAGCCAGCTTCCAAGACGACCTATTCTCCAGTGAGTGCAGTCCTCTCCCCCACTGAGTACAGCTGACTTGTGTAAATCGTATTAGAAAACTGATAGTGTGTGATTTCAGAAGCTGTGTTATAAAAAAACGCTGCCACTTTCATCTTGCGCTTTCTTGGATAATCCACTCTGGGGGAAGACAACTACCAGTTCTTTTTTTTTTTTTTTTTTTAAGATTTTATTTATTTGACAGAGAGAGACCCAGCGAGAGAGGGAACACAAGCAGGGGGAGTGGGAGAGGGAGAAGCAGGCTTCCCGCCGAGCAGGGAGCCCAATGCGGGACTCGATCCCAGGACCCTGGGATCATGACCTGAGCCGAAGGCAGGTGCTTAATGACTGAGCCACCCAGGTGCCCTGACAACTACCAGTTCTTAAAGATACCCAACGAACCCTGTGCAGAGAACTCACACCAACAGCCAGCATGGACTTGTCAGCAACATCAAGAGACCCAAGCCAGAACCACCCAGTTAGGCTGCTCCTGAATTCCTGACCCACAGAAATTAGGTGAGCAATACCTATTTACTATTGTCTCAAGCTGTCAAATGTTGGGATAATTCATTACACAGCAATGGATAATAAACTGGGTTATATATTTCCACTTTAGGAGTATATATCAGAAAACCTAAGACTTCAGCTAGAAAATATGAATATAAGCTTTCTACGTCTTTAGTAGGAACAGATAATGCTTTCAATGTGGGTTAGACACCAACAGTAGATTAAGTTTGAGAAACAAAATCTAAGTATGGTGGTACAGACTAGCTCAAACACCTCTAAAATGGGAGAAGCTCTGCTTAATATATAACCTACAACTCAACAAAAGTGCTTGAGAATTTTCTAACTCAAAACAAGGCAGCACTTACGGAGATATCGTGATTTTAGTGTCAGTGTCTTGCTCAATTTTTTTAAGGTTTCTTCCCTCCTTACCAATAAGACGGCCTACAAAGTTATTATGGGCTAATATCTTCAAGGGAATCTCTTCTGTGCTGTAAGTAAAAAAGAAAAAGGTCATAAAATCAGGATAAGTAAACCTTCTCCTAGGTAAAAAGACAATATCCACTCATTAAACATTTACTTCCACCTCCCATATAGGAAGCATAATGCCAGGTAGAGTTTAAAGTCTGCTGACCTACATTCTAGCAATGCATGAATAGAGGGGGCATGAAAAAAAAAAGCCAGAAGTATTTGAAGTTAATTTTTTAAAAAAATATTTATTTATTTGACAGAGAGAGAGACAGCTAGAGAGGGAACACAAGCAGGGGGAGCGGGAGAGGGAGACGCAGGCTTCCCGCGGAGCAGGGAGCCCGATGTGGGGCTCGATCCCAGGACCCCAGGATCATGACCTGAGCCGAAGGCAGACACCCAACGACTGAGCCACCCAGGCGCCCCTGAAGTTAATTTTTAAAACTATTTTTTTTTATGCATCTCAGGGAATATCTTCCAAGGACAGATTCTCCTAGTTCACTGAAAACACCTTTTACTCAAATCCATATCCCTAAATCCCCAATACCAGAACACAATGTGTAAATCCAAAACCATATGATTTTGCTATAAATTTTAAAATGCATACCTAGAGATACATGCTTAATTTATAGAAGGAACCAGAAGAAACTCAACAGTGATTACTCTTTAGGGGAAGAGTGTAAGAACAGGAAGGGGGGCTTTCACTTTTCATTGAGTACCTTTTTGAATTTCCAACTGATACCTATCACTGTTTGAAAATATTACTGGTATTATCCGGATGGTGAACTTTTTAAAATTTTTCTCTATTTTGAAAGAGAATTATAATTTTATAATATAGCAAACATATAACACCTTATAACTAAAACATATTTAATATGTTAAAGGTCCCTACAAATTAAGTGCTGTTGATTAGGTCCCCAGGCTAACTCTAGTACCTTATTCTGGACTCTCCTTTTAGGGTAACACTGTGCTGTACACTCAAGTGGCATGGAACCCAAACTCCGCTCAAAGTTCCTGTGGGATAGGCATTTAGAGTTTCAACTTGGAACACCCAAATAAATCTCTAGTTTGCCTTAGCACAGGATTAGGGATTTCTCAGCTCCTATCCTCCCTGCTGCTGCAGAGGAGGGCTGGGCACACAACAAGAACAAGAGCGCCAATGAGTTCAGAGTAAAGGAGTCAGGATTTGAGGCACATTTTGGGTAAATCCATGCAATACTTCTTGGTCCTTAGGTGGGCTTCCTATTCCCTAAGTGCCTTCTTCTACAGTTAGACTGTCCCCATTCATACCAGTCACCCCATATCCAAACATGACTGAAAATAAAATCTTTTAAAGACTTATGCTTTCCAACCAAATCAATAGTGCCAACCACCGTAGCTCTTCAGGACAGCACTTCCCTGTGTTGTTTCCAGTTCCTAAGAACTGTGTCTTAGAACTCCAAAATCAAACAGTATGAACATCAACCTCTTCACAGGTTAATCCTCTTTACTCACAATTTTATATCTTGAGCTTCCTTATGCATAATCTCCAGAATAGACTTACAAGCCGCAGAGGTACCTTCAGGGGTAGAGAGGATAGTAATTGACTTCTCAGCAGCACCCGCATTCTCTTTACGATGGACATCAATTCTTACGGTGAGGGCAAGGGAAGAAGAAAAGGAGAGTTGTAAGCACGTATTCACAATTACAGAGTCTGTAAGTACCACCTTCACAGTCATAGGACTTCCGGGCAAAGAGTGGATGACTCACTTCCCTCAAGAGCATAAACTCTTGATAAGCTGTCAACTTTGATGCCTTAAAGACAAATTTGAATTCCAGGAATATCCACCACCCCCCATCCCCTTTTCTCAAGTAGGCACATCTTTTCTTTCTCCCAAGCAGTATAAGCCTAATTTTTCATTTTGGTGTCACAGAGCAAACATCTCACGTCAGAAAGGCTTGGTTCAGACAAAAGGCTTTCTTCTGCTCTAAGGCAAATAGGAGCTGGAACGTAAGCCAAGAGGGCCAGGGTTGGAATCCCACAAGCCACAGTGAATTCATTATGCCACACAGAATATCCACTATCCATCGTATGAGACTTCACTCATCTGTTTCTTCTTGCAAGGCTCTTTCCATATTTTTGCCTCCTTGATAGAGGAAAGTCCACAAAGTAGAGAGTGATAGCAATGGAACCCCAAAAGATGGCAATTCTACTTCAAAGAAAACCAAATGGCTAATAAACACAAAATGATGTTCAACCTCCCTAGTAATCACATCCAAGTCAATCAAAACAAGATGTCATTGGGTTCCAGATCTTCAAATAGTTTAGATTAAGTGTTGGCAAGAGGATGTAAGTGGGCACTCTCACACTATGGTGTGAGTGTAGAACAAACTGGCAGGACCTGTCAAAGCAAAAATGCTTATCATCTCTTGACCCAAGAATTCTACTTTTTGTAACACCTCCTACAGATATAGTCTCATATGTGGGCCTAAAGCGGTATTTCTCACCCTTAGCATTATTGACATTTTGAGCCAGATTAGTTCTTTGTTGGGGGGAGTTGTCCTGTGCACTGGAGGATGTTCAGCAGTATCCCTGGCCTCTACCCACTAGATGCCAATAGCATCCCCTCATCCAGTTGTGACAACCACACCGGACATGACCAAATGTCTGCTATGGGGAAAGATCACCACTGCTTAAAAACCACTGGCCTAAGAATGTTCACTGTGGCACTACTTACACAGAAAGAAAATTGGAATTATCTTTAAAATGGCCATGAGGAAGAGGTGTTTAAGTAACATGTCATCTAGCAGTGTAAAAACATGTCAAATTACAGGTACCAACATAGTACGTGAAAAACAACACAATACATATCATGATAGGATTTCTCTCTTAAAGCTACACGTTAGTAGGTACGCGGAACACGTCCTATAAAGTTACATTCCCACCTTAACAATGGCTACCTCCAGGAATAAGATAAAAGGTAATCCCCTCTTTAAAAAAATTTGCATGCTGTATATTTTGAATTAAATACAAAATAAGTCTTCTGTTGTTTAAAAAGTACAAGAAAGAAAATCAACTATCTGGAAAAGTGGGTCTGGGGAAAATCAAGTACTGGTGAGTCCCTCTAGCCACTCAAACACTAGAAAACCTACAGAACTCCTGGCCATTAAGAATGACCACTTCAGGGCGCCTGGGTGGCTCAGTTGGTTGGACGACTGCCTTCAGCTCAGGTCATGATCCTGGAGTCCCGGGATCGAGTCCCGCATTGGGCTCCCTGCTCAGTCTGCTTCTCCCTCTGACCCTCTTCCCTCTCGTGCTCTCATTCTCTCTCTCTCAAATAAATAAATAAAATCTTAAAAAAAAAAAAAAAAGAATGACCACTTCAGGGGCACCTGGCTGGCTCAGTCGGTTAAGCGTCTGACTCTTTGATTTCGGCTCAGTTCATGATCTCCGAGTCCTGATATCAAGCCCCACGTCAAGCTCCCTCAGGCTCCATGCTCAGTGGGGAGTTTGATGGAGAGTCTCTTTCTCCCTCTCTCTCGGCCCCTCCCCCTCCTCTCTCTCTAAAAGAAATAAAAATGAAATAAAATGTACTTGGTTTAAAAAATGAAAAGAATGACCACTTCATCACACCAATAAAGTCAAAGTTTGGATTTCATTTTCTTAAATGTTTGAAAACTGAAGATTTATCTCAGAATTAAAACCTAGACCTAAAAATAAGGGCAATGAGTAGGTGGGGGGATGGGTGAGATAAAGAGCTCACTTAACATGGTAAGCACTGAGTATGTATGCAATTGTTGAATCATTATATTGTAGACCTGAAAATAATGTAACACTCTATTGTAATTACACTTCAATTTAAAAAAATTTCCAAACTCTTAGAAAAAAAGAAAAAGGCAATATAAAAATGAAACAAATAAGCAACATTTAGAAATAATTAGATGTGCCTTAGGTAACAGTCCCAATCTCAGGAACCATCTTTCCAACCACTGTTTCAATCCCCCATCACTGTAAATTATTGCTTATCTTCTAGTAGGTAACATGTTAATCTCTCTCCTAGTTTATTTCCACCCATTCACAGTGTTAAGGATTATAAAACTCTGATCCTCTGAGAGAAGGAATATTGCTTGACAGATCAGGGTAGCCCTCTGAGACCATTCCAGAAACAGAGGATCTAATAATGACTAGTTTCAACGGCAAGAGTTAATTAAATCCACTGGCAGAACTCTGCAAATGAATCATCGGATATAACAAAAATTGCTTCCCTTCCCTCTCCATCCTCCATCTTCCTGCCTTAAATAAAACAAACAGTTCAATTTAAATCATAGATGCCCTTTCCTCTGACAAGGAAATGAGTAGCTTTAAAAGGAAAACTCTAATCTGCCACACGACAAGGGAGGGAAACCATTTAATAATTAGTTTCTGCAGGTAACAGTGGATCAAGAAAAGCAAGGAGCCCTTGAATTTTAATATTAAAACCAGGCAAATTTAAGATTAAAAATGATCCCAACTATGGTTCACCTGTCTTCCCCACTCCCTACATGATGAAGTCAAAGACCATTGATTTAGCACAAAGGTAATCCATATCCAACATCTCCTGCTTCAAAGCAGGGGAAGGCTGGGGAAGGCAGGATCAGACATCACTCTGCAGGTAGAGTGGGCGTGCAACACCACTAAGCACAGTTCATTTTGGTTCTGCATGAGAAATGAGTCCACTAGTTCAACACAGGCATGGTCCCTATGATAAATATGGATATCCTCTTAAGCCTACTGGAACAAACATACATAACCAAGATATACACAGCACTACAGTTGTACTTTCAGGAAAAGACTGCTTAATTGCTTGGACCACATAAAATGAAATCATTTTCCTTACTAAATTTAAAAGGCAAAATAAACCATTCTCATCTCTGTAGCTAGGCCAAGGCCATTTCCATACTCTTTTGCATACAATGACACGGCCACTTCTCCCTAGTGCACTCACTATTCTTTGGGAAATATGGAATATGCTGTCCCAGAGATGTGCCTAGTGCACTTTAAGGAACAGGGGTGAAGACAGTTCATTGCTAAGCTTCTTTGGGTCAAAATCTCCACATACAGCCTAAAAGGATGGTTAATAAAGCAGAACAACTAATATATAATTTGTTGAAGCTTTTAAATTGATAGAGTATCTTAGACATATTTTAAGGGCATTGAGCGTAATTTACATCCAGTCATTTCATTCATTTGACAAATATGAGAGCCTTCTACATACCAATGTGTCAGCACTGGGGCTACTGTCTGTTTATAGCTCCTGCTTTCTACTCCTGCAAAGCTAGCTCCAATGTTTAATGGAGAATCTTCCATTCCCTTAAAATTTTCATATTAGCTATCAAACATCCTTAAAAAAAAAAAAAAAAAGTCAATCTAACTACATGGCTTAATCACAGGTAAGTTTGGAACATAAGCTGGATGACTTTTTACTGAAATAAAGCAAGAATGAAAACCGTCTCTGTACTGGACCCCAGAAAATTACTTCCTATAACACTGAAGGCAGGTATCCCAGGGGATAGTGGTGTGGATAGGAGAGCAGAAAATAACCAAGAAGTGGCCCTTTTGTTCATCAGTGCCTCCCCCATCAGAAAGGGATTGGGGATCGTTTTCCACTCATGTATGCAAATTTGAAGTTCTCTTTGCGATTAAGCTTAAGCCTCAGATTTACATAAAATGAACACTAAGACATCAAATCACAAGGGTTTTCCAGATTCCCAAGTACTGTGCAAGGAAGGATCACAGCCACACTCAGAAGGACACCCAGTACCAGAACAACTTACTCTGTTAAGATTCAAAGGGAAAAACATTAATACCCACTGCAGCCTCACTAATACTCACTTAGACTGAGTCTGTTTGGTAATGTTCCGAATGGTGGCACCTTCTTTTCCTATTATGGCTCCAACAAACTGGGTGGGGACCAGGAGGCGTAGAGGCAAGTCACACGGTTTCTGCTTGGAGACTGATCCTGGAGACCCCTGCCTCGATGAGCCCCTCTGCCCAAACCCACGGCGACCTCGGGGCTGCTGCAAGGGGTTCTGCTGGGCAGCAGTTTCATCAGGGATGTAGGCCACTTTCAACGTGAAGCTCTCCAACTGGAATCCATTCAGTTTGTCTAATGCTCTGGAAAATGACAAAGAGCAGAGTATAGGAAGAGAAATTGAGCTCTAGAAACCTTTCAGCAAAGCAATATCCATCTCTTCCACTCAGGATTACTACCTCTGAAACTTCTGAATAAAGCCACTGAATAAGTAGCAAACTCCTAACACATGTAACCCAACCTCCACACACACCCAACCTCCACACACACCCAACCTCCACACACACACACACACACACACACACACACACACACACACACACACACACACACACACACGGAAGAAAAGACCAAGCTTCCAAAGAGAACATATTTACCACCTACCAATGAAAAGTAGAAAATAAAAAAGCTTAATCAAAAGAGTTTGACAAAATGTTACTATCTGTGAGGTTAGCAACAGCTTATGAGTACCCGAACAGCAAGAGAAGTGAGTGGGCAGTCTTTGTCTTGTCTTGTGTTTCCGAATCAGAATGGAAAAGACATTACAAATGTGTACCTCCCTCACTTCACCCTCTTAAGAAATACAAATATTAAAACATTTTAAGAATTTAAGGACAAGTATCCCTAAACCACTCAACAGGAGATTCACAGAAGTTAATACTCAAGATAATCAATCAGTCGATAAATTCTAAATTCTCAGTGCCTATTATGAGCAAGTCCCTGAGAAAATAGCAGTCCTGACCTTGTGGAGTTTATGATCTGATTTGGGGCAGAAAGACAGGGGTGCTGGTGAACCAAAAAGAGCAAATGAAGCTATTTTCTACTTTATCTATCCATCCATCCATGCATCCATGCGTCCATTTATCCACCCATCTCTATATTTGGAAAGGAGCTCTACTTTTTTCATCATTTTAAACCTTACTATGGAAAAGTACCCAATCTTTAGCTTACACCTCAATGAATTTTCTTAAGGTGAACATGCATATCCAGATCCAGAACTAGGACATACCAATGCCCCAGAAGCCCCACCAGGACCTCTTTTCAGTAATTACCCGTCCCCTAGTTTGTTTTTTTTTTTTACACAATAAATTTTGCCTATTTCAAACTTCTGTATTAATAAGTATACATGAGTATACATTAGGTACTATCATGCCTAGCATCTTCTACTTATGTTTGTAACATTCATCTACATTATTGTGTTCTATATTACCTACATATTTTATAAGTGGATAACTCAACAAAAAATTGATAGAGAAGATATGGCCAAGATTTTAAAAGCACACATAAACACTCTTAAGAATATACACTCCCCAGTACACAACAAAATTAAAAACATATAAAGGCCCCACACTTTTTCTCTAGGGTTATACAAAGTCTTTGCTCAGATTCTGTTCCAATGGGCACTGAGATCAGCTCAGGCAGGGAACAAAAAACAGGCATGAAGCAGTTTCTCTCCAGTTGCTCAGAGTGGTCATTTCTTGTTCACATACTGTTTTCCTTATTTGCAGATTCAGTTTCTGACTTGGATGCTAAGGGGAAAAAAGAGGTAGTTCTAACACCAAAAGGGCACCATAAGGATGCAATTGGCAGACAGGCCTAGGCAAGTAGACAGGGTGTGATGTTCTCGGGACCCCTAATTCTGCCCTCTCTTCTTACTTGAATCCTCTGCTGCATCACTGTCCTACGGTGCCTAGAGCGCAGAATGAACTCAGATTACAAGACATCCCAATCAAGGAGAAATATACAAGTAACAAGAAATTTCTCTGTCCCCATCATCAACCCCCCAAGACCCTTCCCAGAATCACTGTTAACTGTGAAAATCTCTGCAAACAGACCCGTACTTTCCATACATTTACACGTGTGTATGTGTTCAGTACCCTGTTTAAAAGCATCATTGAACCCGAAACTAATGTAACATTGTGTCAACTATACTCAAATTTTAAAAAACTTTTTAAGAGGTACAAAATTCCAGTTTTAAGTACTATGGATATAATATACAACATATTAACAGTTAACTCTGCTGTTTGGTGTATTTGACAGTTAAGAGAGAAGATTCTGAACATTCTCATCAGCAGGAAAAATTGTTTCTTTTTTAATCTATGAGATGACAAATGTTAACTAGTTTACCTTGGTTATCATTTCATCATATATGTAAGTCAAATCATGATGTACCCCTTAAACTTACAGTGTTTTGTCAATTATTTCTCAATAAAACTGGTAAATAAGAAAAATTATAAATTATACCCACAAATACACACGTATACATTTGAACACAAATATAGAAAAGAACAGTGCATGGCTTCTAAATTATCAATAGTTTAGTCATTTTTAAATTAAGAATTGCTTTACAATACCTTAAAAAATAAAAGCGTAATTGAGATCTTATCATAAATGTTTCCGGTCTTGCGTCCCCCCCCGCCCCAAATACAATATATCTTGGGATATTTCTCAGTGATTTCTATTTCAGAGGATGTTCTTTTCTTTTTTTTTTTTTTTTAAAGATTTTATTTATTTATTTGACAGAGAAAGAGGATGAGCAGGGAGGAGTGGGGGGTGAGGGGGAGAGGGAGAAGCAGGCTCCCCGCTGAGCAGGGAGTCTGACACTACATGGGGCTCGACTCCAGGACCCTGGGATCATGACCTGAGCCGAAGGCAGACGCTTAACTGACTGAGCCACCCAAGTGTCCCAGACAGCATTCTTTTCTTAAGTTTCACAGGGTGATAGCAGCACACACAGCACCAACTTTTATCAATGCTCTGATAACAGAACCTTAGGTTAACACATTGTTCCTTTCTCCTTCTCCTCTTTTTCCTTAAGGAAAATGTGGAATAAGGGCCAAAAAATATTTTGGTTATTTCTCAAAGATGACAACAGCTGAGAAATTTTGTTAACATTTATGAGGTATACTTATTATAGAAAGCTGGGATTGCATACAAGTTTCAACCAATTAGATATTCATTCAAAGCAACTTTTAACTTTTTCAAAGGCCATGGTGAAACAAATCACGGATGGTTCTTTCAAAAGCATAAGGAAAGGGGTGCCTGGGTGGCTCAGTCAGTTAATAAGCATCCAACTCTTGATTTTGGCTCAGGTCATGATTTCAGGGTTGTGAGATCAGTTCTGCATTCCATATCAGGCTCTGTGCTCAGTGGGGAGTCTGCTTCTCTCCCTCTCTCCCCCTCTGCCCCTTCCCCCCCAACTCATGCGCACATGCGCACGCACGCTCTCTCTCAAATAAATAAATCTTTTAAAAATAATAAGGAAATAAAAATAAGGAATGCAATAATGAAGGAATCAACTATATCTGTGGGCCTAAAGGCAATATAGTTTGCTATAATATCCTTTCCCACTATAAATTGAATATTGCTAACTTCAGAAGGAAAGTAGTAAAATTTGTGGAGATAAGTCAGTAATGTTACCAAAAAAAGGTAAGTAACTTCTTTCTTGAGAGAAAGGACCATACACAGACAGACATAGACCTCCTCCTCCATGGGGATAAACAGATAGACATGTAAATCACCAGCCGCTTCTAAGTACTCTGAGGCTATCTAAATAAAGTCACACTTGTCCCCAAGAAATAGCTCTCTCAACTTCGCATAAACTCACTTCCAAACTTCACTGTTTTGCTTTAAAAAAAAGATTTTTGAGGGGGAAAGAAAGGTCAGACAGCATGGTGCTTCGGTACCCAGTGCATAGCCTGGGTCCTCAATGCTCCAAACTCAGACTGTTCCTGTCAGAGAGTATTCAGCACATACTCTGTGTATTCCACTGTCTAACTGCCAACTAAGAGTTCTGGAGCCCTCAAACCACAGTGCTCCAAACTTGGATATAGCTGAAAAGGTACAGGAATAACCTAACTGCAAACAAAGGATTCCTCACAATTGGAGATTGTAAGTTGTCAATTACTGTAGCCTTTTTATATCCAAAGTTTAAAATTCAGTTATGTCATCGGGTGGTCTGCTGAGTTTATGAGGCCAACATTATAATATTTTCACCAAACCCGCTGCAAATGCAAGATGTATGATAATTATCATAATTACTCAAAACACATGTTTCAGTTCAGCAGAACTCAAGGATGTTTATCAAGCAAGCACAACCTCAGGATCCTGTTTCCCATCATTACAAGACTCTGCTCTGATGCGATTTTAAGAGTCATTCAGAAGGAGGTAAGTAGTTTTGCTAGGGGTAGCACTTAATCACATTGATAAGTTTATCAGGGCAAGTCCCAGTGTACAGCTGAAAGGGCCTTTAGACAGAGAATTAGTAGTTTAACTCAAGGATGAGGAAGAGGGAGGTAAAGAAGAATTGAGGCCCAGAGAAGTTAAACTTATCCAAGAATATACACATACAGTTCTGAGTAGTACAAAAGAAGATGGACCAAGGACCAGAATTCTAATCAACTTGAATAATAAGTAGCCAAGTAACCTTGGAAAGGTCGTTTCTTGTTTGGCATTAGCCTCCTCACTGACAAAACTAATAGATTTATAGTCCCTTTAAACTCTAAAACTCCAGACCTCACTAGTGTATATCACATTGTTCTGAACAAAATGAGGTTTAGCCATTATTGAAAAGTCAAACCATTCTGTTTTCTCCTTGTAGGAAGAATAAGAGGTTAAAAAAAAAAAAAAAGAGGTTGAGACATACAATTCTGCCATAATTAGTAAACATCTGGTAATATACCATTGCAGGGATGCAACATAAGGCAACTATTATAGACAAAGCCCAAATATTTACCTACAAAGGAATTTATTACTAAACTGGTTCTAAAAGCAAAAAAAGCAACCTCCAACAACCTAGATACGCAGTAGAGGGCTGGATACATAGAGAGTGTGGTAGGAGCAAAATATTACACAGAGATTACAAACAGTATAAATATGTTAGTGGCAAGACAATCTGCAATACTGCACAAAATTATCTTTTGTCACTTTTTATGACATGGGACAATGTCTACCAAACTTGATGGCAAACATAAATGTTATCTTAAATGGCAAAATGGCAAGAAATCCCACTGTTTTTACTGCTTTATCAGTCATTTCTTTTTCCAGAATAAATCTTCTATTTACATAATTTTCAAAGTTTAGGGGTCAATTTCCTCCCCCTTAGCCATCAGTCACATTGTTTCAAACACTTCTTCAAATGGATGTAAAAGCATCTGCAATGCTAGCTTCAAACTATAAAAAGACTGTATTCCTATTCCTTAATAAAAACATCAACATCAGAAGTAAGAACCCCAAAGAAAAGGAAGTATAAGAACTACAGAAATGCCTACAAATTCTGAAGGGTTATTTCTGTCACACATGACAAACCTTCCAATGAGTAATGTCTGTCTTTGCGTCATCTAAGCGTCCCCAGAGAACAGAGGAAACAGGGGGATCCAGAGACCCAAACCTCTCTTGCTCCGAGACACAAGAAATACTGAAATACAGACTTCTGTTTTTAATGATTTTTTAAAAATTTTCATCATTGTTACCCATTTTATTATTTTAACAAATTAGTAATTCAAGACTTATGATTAAAACTAATGTATGTATTTCCTAGCAATGTATGCATTATTAACCTTTGATTTTTCTTATCCAGAAGGTGGCAGGAATTTCCATGTTAAATTCTAGAGACAGCCTTACTGAAGAATCCTCTTAAAAGTGGCATTCATAGAGCTGTAAGTAACAAAGAGGCAGCCACAAATGTTTTTAAACCAGGACCTGATCTCCTGAGTATCAGTGGCCAGTCATTATCTGAAATGAAGTATACTATATAATAAATAATAGGGTATTAGCAGCAGTAATGAAAAATGTTAGGAAAATGCGTAATAGCTGCTACCTTTAGAGCTCTTACTACCTTTTAGGTATTATCACAAGTGTTTTGGAGGCATTATGTGAGTTTCTCTGAACAGTTTCATGAGCTAAGGACTATAATTACTCCCATCTTACAAGATGGGGGTGAACTAAAATAGATTCATCTGGCCAGAGTCACAGTGAGAAAAGTGGTGGCGCAGAGTCCATTCCATGGAACTGGACTCTGGAATAACTGGACTCTGGAATATAGTGTCCACCCTCTTCTGCCACCTGTGCAAGCACATCCCAGTTCTGTGCACTCTCGGGTAATACAGATGCTAAGCAAAGAAGTCAAATGAGATTATTGATTCCGCTCGGTTACCTGAAGGCATGAGCTTTGGACGGCTGCCAAGGAAAGGGTGTGGAGAAATCACATCAGGCTAGTGTAGGCAGCAGAAGGTCATACTGGAGCCCAGAGAGCAGGTAACCAGGCTTCAGGGGAGCAAGTCCTAGAGGGACCAATCTTCCCCAGCTCAACCCACTTCAAGCTGCTCTAGAAGCAACCCAGAAACAGAGGGTTGAAGGTGAGGCCCTCTTTACTGGGTGTCTATGTGTCAGGCCACTTGATAAGACCGTTTTCTATAAGTTTGTATGTACATGCATGAATACATTTGTTTGTCAACCCTCATTTTGCAGTTGAGAAAACTGAAAATCAGAGAGGGCAAGGTTACAGTCAGAGCTGTCTGACTCCAGAGTCCATGCTTTCTCCACTACATCCAATGCCTCTCAAGATAAATTCTCCTCACAGAACAAAAATGTACTCCACATCTTTTTTAAAAACTTACTAGAGAACTTTAATGGACAATTTTCATAACATGGTTTCACAAAATTGGTTTTTTTCCCCATTTTTTAAGTCTACTAACTTTCTCTGAATATGCCATTATTTTCTAATTCTCTTAGAACTCAGGAATTCTTGAGGGGGAGAAACCCCAATATGCTTGTAAGGAAACTCAACTTGGGCAGGAATTAATCCCCCTCCATTACTCTCTTTCACCACAGGGACATATATCCTTGAGGATAGTGACTTTGCCTTTAAATTCACTAGCATCTTTTGGTCAATAGTTGATAATCAATAACTGCTGGCTGATTAACTATTAGAATAAGGGATATGATAACTATTTCCCTCACTGAAATGCCCAATTTATTTGTTTAGGTTACCTAATTTATTAAATTACAAATTCCTAACAGTCTTTGGGATCAACAGGATCCTGCCAATTTCTAACAACCACTACCAAGTACCTTTAGACTAAAATGTCCCTGCATTCGCATTGCTGTCACATTAGGATCAATGTCCACAGTGACTGTGCCTTGACTGGCCACTCTATACCTCCCGCACTTGTACTCTTCTTAACCGGTTGGAATACTTTTTTTAAGAGGGAGGGGAGTGCTAAATGTCAGCCTGTCCCTACTTAAATTCCTCTATGTTTCTTCAAAGCTACGTAAGTTATGTCTCCTTATAACTAACTGTTGAATTAAGTATTTCCCCCTTTACCTAGCCTCACATAAGTTTTCAAATAGACAACTAGGACAGGCCTCTATCTCCAAATATCTTTGGGTTTAACATGTTATCTCATATTTTCCATCTAACAGAGAGTTGACTCTACCAAGTATTCATTAAAGATCTTTGTAGAGACTGAAATACAGAAGATAAAATGGAGCCTTCTATTCTTACCGCCCTCACTTTGATGCCCCAATCTACTTTCCTGTATTTCCCCTTACACGATATGGTTGAAGAAAAGGTTTTTTTTTTTTTAAAGCCAGTTTTACAACTTATACTACAATTTCTATAATATCCAAACACCTCATATAAGCTTAAATTTTTTCAAATGAAGATACAGAGGGAAAAATAGTGTGCTTTTAAACATATTCAAAGTTTCATGTTAAAACATTAAAAGTGAATCCCATTAAGTCTCATTTAGGAGGAAAAAAAAATGAAATTAACATAATTAGTTACTACTTTTTTACCCACTAGATCAGCAAAGTTTGATGAAGCCCCATGTTAGGGAGAATAAAGAGAAACAGACTCACAGTGCTGATGGGAATTTGAAGTATTTCAAACTCCATGAAGGATAATTTGCCAGTATCCAACAAAAAAGAAAGCAGATACATCTAGACTTAGCAAATCCAATTCTAGTAATTTAACCTGTGGCCATGTTCACACAGATGCAAAATGACATGAACAAAGGGATTCACTACAGCACTGTTCATAACTGCTGGAACCTTAAGACAACTTAATATCCAATCTGGGACTAAGTAAGTCATAAATGTATTTACATGTACGAAACAGTCAAATGTTAGGGTATCACGTGTATGAAGAGGAAATATACACACATTTGTCTTCTGTGTAGTTATCTCCAAGGAAGGCAACAAAGTGACTGGGGACAATACTGGAAGGAAGATTTACATCTTTGTGCCTCTAAAAATCTGAACCATGTTAGTATTACCAATTTAAAAAATAAGTCCCATTTGTGTTATGCAAATCCCCACCTCCTTCCCAGCCCTGTTTTTCCTTTCATCGTCCTTCCTTGAATGGGTGCTGCCTTTGTAACCCAGCTCTGTTCCCACCCGTGAAGCTGGTTTCACCTTTCCCTTTTAGGGCTGAGGGTCAGCAAGCACGGTAATGGTTTCTCCTCTCACCTCTTCACACGCAGAGGACAGGCAGTCTGCTCCTGCCTGTACTGTATCTAGAGGCAGTTAAGGCTTCCACGGTCTACGGACACTCAGCACGTTGCCATAGGCACCTCGCATGCCGTTCCTCCGCGTTTGTGTTCTGAGGAGCTCTGTCCAAGGCAGTGTTTGTGACATCCTCATCTAGTCTAGTGCTCAGTCAGTTCATTACATCACTCCCAAGCCTACAGAATTATCTTTTCATCTGTGAAAGTTCCTCCTGTCAACTGCATTGGAATCTATTTTTCAAATCTAAAGACAAATTACATTGATCCAATGTCTGCACACTCCTCCATTTAATAGTCATCATTAGAAAAATCAGTGACCAAGAAAACTTACCCTGGTGTTAGTTTAACACATGATCAACTTACCAGCTTTACATTAAATAGCAATACTGTATGTAACATACCGATAAGAAAAAAAAAGTCTTTATATAATTTGGCAAGGATCTCCAGGCCCAAAGCTTTTTGCAAATAGGATGTAATTCAGCTTCACACTGTGTCACTCTATTATTGGCATTAAAGACATATTAAAAATGTAATAAATCTTTACCAGGGCTGATTCTTATTAGACATTCAAACTTAAAAAGAATTGCAGGGTCAAACTTCGCAAAATAATACTTATTTCTGCTACCCAACCGCCCAAAATATAAGCACTGTGCTTAACCTAGTTATTACATATAGATTAAAAGTTCCAAACTGCTTACTGTCTAGCTTGGTCCTTACTGGAATAGGTTACATTTACGACTGCAGTTTCCGAGTCAGTGTTCACTAGAGGAAGAGAAAAGTGAAGAGAAAAAAAAGTTAGTTTTCTTTCTATTTCCTTCCTTTTACAAATTTGAAAGCAATTGAGAAGACATGTACCTTGCTCACAGCTTTCCACCACTCCATACTGGACTAGTAAACTATCCAGCACCTATCAGGAGGGCGAGAAAAAATTACAGATTTTCAATTTCCCAAGTTATTAACAAGGGCAGAAATATGTTTTAAAATCACAAATTGTGATGGAAATGAGCAAAAAAAAAAAATTAACTGGGGTTTTGGGACTACAAAAAGCAAGGGAAGGGTACCATAGAGAGCACACAGTGGGATTCTCTCTCCTGCCTATTCCCAGATCTGACTTTAAGCTCACTTCCTATGGCTAACCAAGAAGTTAAGTGGCTCAGCAAAGTATTCAAAACCATAGCCGCCTGATTCCTGAAGCTGGAGGAGATGAACCATGTATTTCTCATACGTATATCAACACATCATCATATGAGATAAGGCCCCAAGTCAAGTTTTATCTTAAAGATGTTCCTTTTCAAAGAACTTACTTTCACAGCCATTATGGGCAAATGAGAACAGACTATTCTCAAGGCAGACTGGCAAAATGAAAAGAATAGTTGATTTTCTACCCGGAGTCTTAAGTTGAAGATTAACCTAACTGACCTGAAATTAATTTAACACTGTTGGAAAATGTACAATTTGAAACTGTTTTTACCATCTTTCCTGCAGCTGCATTATTACACTGTGCATGTTTCTCTAAAGAGAAGCTGTTAAAACAGTAACTTAAATTCTTTTATAGTATAAACTGCAGATGTACATCTCATGGTCTCATCAGTATAAACCAAATTCAACTGTCCCTAGTTTCCAAGAACTGTAAAGCTTTTCTTGAAAAGTAAAACAAGTTTTTATTAATTTATAGTGAACCACTTACTCAACAATTTAATTGCAAAATTAAAGGACAATTCCTTGAGAATGTTTTCTGCTCCCAACACAGTAAACCATTAAGGAACACTAAATTTTTTTTTTGTTAATTCCCTACTAAACTTTAAAGCAATTTCTTCAAAACGAACATTTATCTCGTGTGGTATCTTTCAGTCATTTATTTTGTTTACTGATTTAAGCTTGAAATTTATAGCAAGGTTTGGGGATGCACTTTAATATTTTTCCCCATTTTAAATAGGGCTAATACCTATTTGTGAATGGAGTAGTCACCTATTTTTATACTGCAGTTTTGATGTGGTAGTGGTAGAGAAGGGGTGTAGGGAGTAGGGATAAATGCCAATATTAAATAAACACCATTCTTAATTCTTCCTAAAAGCAATTTGTTCAGTAATACATTAGTCTCCACATAGCTTATACTACCTTAACTTGTACTACTATACATATACACACACTTATGTGTAAATATATACTATATACATATACACAGGCATTAAATAAGAGATATAACTTAAAAAATCAAGGAAATGTACATCAGAATTTTCACTGCATATATTGTAGAAAGCTTAGTATTTTCGTAACAAAATTGCTTGAGGGCACCTCGCTGGCTCAGTTGGTAGAGTATGTAACTCTTGATCTCAGGGTCCTAAGTCTGAACCCCATGTTGGCTGTAGAGTTTGAAAGAAACTGCCCCCCCAAAAAACAAAAAAACTGCTTGTAGTTATAACATCTATTGCTAATTATAAATGCCATTGTTTGTCAATGATTTCGCGTGTAAAATCTCTAGAAAAGTAATTAGAAACTACGATTCTATACACTAAAAAGGCGAATTTTATTGTATGTAAACTGTACTTAAACAAACCTGATTCTAAATAAAAAAACAAAACACTATAATCCTAAAAACAAACAAAAAAACAGGTCCAGCATCAATCTTGACACCTAGTTAAGAATCAAGTTAACACCACAACCTGAGGGGTTTTATCTAGACACCAAAAGATGAATTTCAATGGGTCTTTGAGGTCTTAATTCAAATTTTATGCACAAACTTTGGGGATCATCACAACTGAGAGACAGAAGAAGGACTGTTAATAGCCCCATCCAATTCCCAAATCCCAAAAGGGTTTCCAACCCCCGCTAGGTAAGCAGTGCTATAGTAACCAGTTTTCCTTAAGTCTGTTAGGCAGGCATTTGTCTCAATGTGCTATGTCCAACAGGACAGGACTACCAAACTGTATCATGCCACTCCAACCCACTCAACTCTCCAAGAGTAACTACAACTTAACCCTAAGTAAGTTCGGACATTTTGATTCATCCTGCATTAACTAGGAAGACAAACATTCCTGTTATCTGTCAGTTAACCACCCACCCACTGGGTTTGGGTCTCTTTTCAGTTGCTAGAACACCTTGTAGTTTCTACCTCTCCCATCTATTTCTGCTACACGTTTTAAATTAAACAGCTTTGTTTGAAGGTAAAAAGTAAAATAAAAACTTCCATTGCACATTTCCAACATTTCCATAAATCTCTTCATTCTCAATCCTAAATGAATTTATTTTACTCAAGCCACAAAGGAAACATTTCTCTATGTATCACTAAGTTTTAAATTCCAACTGGAGGGGAAAGAAGGCACCAAAGCAAATTAAAGCCTCAGAGGGAATGTCTTGGTGGAATGTCCCTTTTTTATTATTTAGGACTTAAAAATCTCAAATATTCAGGCTTTATTTTAAAAAAACTTCATCCACATATAGAAATAGCATCTCACGATAAATACCAAGATTATCATTGTCCTTCACATAGCTGTGGAGGAGAATTAAAATCATTTGTAACTGTATAGAGTGGAAACAATCTAGGGTGAGGAATGGATAGACAAATGTGGTATAGCCATACAACTGAATATTATTTGGCCATAAAAAGGAATGAACTAACATAGGCTACATGAATCAATGTTGAAACATTAAGTCAAAGAAGCCAATCACCAAAAAAAACAAAAACAACATGTCAAGTGATTCCGTTAGTAGGCAATGTCCAGAAAAGGGAAATCTATAAAGACCGAAAGTAAATTAGTGGTTGCATAGGGCTGGTGAGTGGGAATAGAGGGTGACAGCTGAAGAGGCTTTTTTCTGAGATGATAAAAAAGTCAATAAACATCAGCTGTGGTGATGGATACACATATCTGTTACACTAAAAAACAATGAATCATACATTGTAAATGGGTGAATTGTATGTGAATTGTATTTCCATAAAGCTGTTAGGAGTAACTAAGATCGGGGTGCCTGGGTGGCTCATTTGGTTAAGTGTCTGCCTTCGGCTCAGGTCATGGTCCCAGGGTCCTGGGATTGAGCCCCAGGTGAGCTCCCTGCTCAGCAGGGAGTCTGCTTCTCCCTCTCCCTCCTGCTCCCTCTCTAATAAATAAAATCTTTAAAAAAAAAAAAAAAAAAGTAATAACTAAGGTCAGTATTACTTAAAAATGGCCTAAGATTTTTTTTTAGCCTTGAAGAGCTACTGTAATACAATGAACCGCACAAAATTTGATCAGTCCCGCCATTACGTACACTCTCCTGAGGCCACCACCATAATCAAGCTAAGTTTCTTCATGCCCCTCTTCAACCTAGTAGGCTGGTTTATTCATACACAAAACATTGAAATAAAGGTAACTGGAAAACTCTTTGTGCCTTGGACAAGATCAGACTTCCTCTGCCACAGCAGACCACCTCCACCACCACCATCCCTGCCCCCGACCAAACGAGCTGGAGGTCAGAGGTGCCCTTATGGGCATTATGTGTAATTCATGCTCTGCAGATAAACCTTCTGCTAACTGCTCATTCGTTATACCCACTGCTCATGAGGTCCCATTACCTCTGAACTAGCTGAACTGAGGGTCTGACTGACATCTTGCGTCCACCACCCTATCCCGTCACTCTTCTGCTAAAAGTTACTACTCCTCAGTGACTTCAAATAACTGACAGAAATTGTCACAAGTTCAACGTGGTGGAGAAGATCATCAATGATCTGGTACTGCCTACCTCCTTCCATCCTCTTCAATATACTTCCCATACACCTAATGCTCCAGTCACACCATCAAGACTGGATAAAGCACCCTTGTTTCCATAGTACCTGAGCTCACCTAATCCTAGAAATGAAAGCAATGTCATTTTATAATCTCTTCACTGATCTTTATTCTCCCACTAGACTAGTCATAATTAACCATAGCGATGTGATTGTCAAGTGTGTCACAAATAATCTATTCCTAATGGTTACAATGGCTTCCACACTTAAGAAAACTTACAGTACATATACAATAATAGAATCCAAGTCCTTCTTATGTGCCACGTGCGTTTCAGAAGCTAATGGGACAGTGCTGGATATTACAGTCTTGTGTGCTACTCTTTTCTTAAAGTGCCTCTGGAAATGCCCCTCCACCTTTATGCCCCTCCGCCACACAGAGCTCCACTTGTCTCTAAACTTTTAAGGAAAGAGACCATAGCTTTGTTACCTGAGAACCATACACTTAGCTCAGTGAGGAGCAACAACAAAAACTAACGGGTTAAAAGGAAGCCACCAAACATTTTTTGTCCTAAGAGCGAAGGAAACTAATTCCAGGTTCCTTTACAAGTCCAAAGTGATATAAGTGAACAGGTATTCATCATGAATTCATATGAAAAAGATGTAGAAGTGTACAGTCAAGCATTATAAGAACAAGTTACATTAAAATTCAAAGCAGGATATTTAATGCTCTCTTGCCCCAACACACACTTTACCAAAATACATACACGTGGACACACACACACACACAATAATAAATGTTCCAAACACTAAAATCACACTCAGACTCTGGGGAGGGGTTACCAGAAAGAAGTTGGGTTTTTGGGGAGGGGGGAGGGGGGCAAGTTACTGACTCTCTCAGGGCTCTTATTTCCATAGTTCTGGAGGCCGGAAGTCCAAAATCAAGGTGTCAGCAGGGCCCTGCTCCCTCTGTAGGGTCCAAGGAAGAGCACAGCCTTCCCTGCCTCTTCCAGCTTCTGGTTGCTGCGGGCAATCCTTGCTGTTCCCGAGCCTGTAGCTGCACCGTTTCACTCTCTGCCCCCGGTGGCACGTGGCCTCCGCCACCACCTCCGTGTCTGGGTCTCTGTCTCTGCATCTGAATCTGCCTCTCCTTTCTCATATAAAGACATCAGCCATTGGACCTAGGATCCACTCTAATCCCGTATGACATC